ACTGGAATTTGGCCAAATAGCAGCAAAACCCCTTTATTGCTTGGAAGAAACCAGGTTCTCCAATATGATGAACAGTTACAATGTTGAGATTATGATACGGGTCACATTCATAAAATGGCTGCCATAGTTTAACCTTTGGCATGTTTGCAACCAAAAGTTTTCTATTACTCTACACCCAGGATTACAGTATTCACATAACTAGAGCTTATGTATATTACTCTTTCCAGAAAGGTTTACACTCTCTTCTCATTCTTTATTGTGGGGCCTAAATAAATGATAAACACTAACAGATATAAAACATGATATAGTGGTCTTTTTTGAAAGGGAAACTTTGTCCCAGGGCAATGTCAGTTTTGGAGCTGAGAAATAATGGTTTGGAACCACCAGTCCAAAACCTTTTTCTGCCTATCACATTCACATTCCAAATCATTTCCTGAGTTTCTCAAACTGGGATTTCCAAACATACATTAACTTTTCAGATACATACTTGGAACTCTGAAGAGCAAATAGTACCTTAAAGGTGAATTTATACTCAAGTGTCAACCAAGAATTAAGCAGCCCGCTGCTTCTATCGCAGCAGGTGCCTAGCCAAGCTCCCCTGGTCTCAAAAAAAGCTAAACAGGATCAACTTTGGTTAGGACTTAGTGTCAGGCATCACACCAGGACTCTGTAGTAAATCAGAGTTCTCCAGGCTCTTAAGCTTTTATTTAGATTTGGCACAAGATTTCTCAGAAATAGCTCAGCTAGATTATGATCTTTATCGTAGAATGAAGCCTTAAACACAACAGTTCATTGCCAGTTTGCAGCACAAAGGAGTCGGAGACTCCAAGAATTGAACTCCACACATCTTCAGGTTGTCAAGGTTGAGAAACACTGATCTAGGCTATGGAGATTAAACCACAGCCTTTTTCTTCCTGCTGTTGTGAGTTAGCAGATAGGGTCTCTTGATGGCCTAGGGAGGCAAGTTTGTTTAGGTAATGGTTCTCTCTAGTCTTGCCTCACCAGCCCTTACCACCTATAGGAGACTATGGGGAAATCTCAAAATTGTAGATTAGACAGGGAAATTGAAAAGGCATCCTCAAAGAAGACAGTAGCAAACTTCCATATTATTGCTAGGAAAACTACATGGATATGTCCATATAATCACCATGAATTGACAATTTAAAAAATGACCATTTCAATGGTTCTTCATTTCAGCAATAGCCAGAAAAGGATTCCCACCCTACTAATTCATTGTATTTAATTAGTGGTTTATTCATTCCTGGTTTATTTGAACCATAACCTTATTTAAGTAAGTAATTAGAGTCTATTCACTAGTCTAATCTTTTACCAGCCATGATGGATGGATGGATGGATGGATGGACGGACAGAGATAGATAGATAGATAGATAGATAGATAGATAGATAGATAGATAGATAGATAGAGTCCCAAGACCAAAAAAAAAAATGGCTTAGCTTGATTTGTAAATGCTGCTACTAGCATGAAGGGCTAGACTATAATTTGGGGATCCACTGCAAATTTATAGAATGGGGTCCTTTCTATATATGAACCTCAGTTCTATTCCTTATATAAAGTACAAGCTCAAGAGTAATGCAAGAACAATTTTTATTTTAATTCTCAGCTTACATTATTTTATGTTTTACATTTTAAGTAGTGTACACTGAACTTTTCTACCAAAACCCTTTGATAGAACATTGACTATTTTTGTTGTTGTTTATTGTTGTTCAGTCTTAAGGACATGTTTATAAAACTTACCAATTATTTTGTAACTTTTTGATTGGCTCTAATAAATGCATTTAACTTGCCAATCTTTTGATACTTTTAAAAAATTCTAATAGGCAAATGTAGCTGCAAGTATTTGATAAAATGCTAAGCCAAGTTTATAAGGTAACAGTAGCTGAAATCACACACTGCATGAATTGTGAAGCCAGCTAAAATACTTAGGTAGCTTAAACTGTCCTGGTCACACAACACAGTGTTTCTCAACCTTGGCAACTTTAAGATGTGTGGACTTCAACTCCCAGAATTCCCCAGCCAGTTGGGGAACATTGCACAACAGAATGCCTGCAGTTTTTGATGAATGCTAGGGCTGAAACTTCTTTCAGCTTGTTCAGTTACTAACAATGTCTAAAAAAAATCCACAGAGCTTCACTGTAATTTAGTTGCAGTGAAAGGCAAGTATGAATAGCCTTGCAGCTTTTTAACTTTTTAATTTTTTACAGAAATTCATTTCACAATTTTTTCTTTCCAGAAATCTCTGCCTCATTTCTACTTATAGTCTGACATGACTGCATTGTGTGTATGAAGTAGATTCTTATCACCTGTATTTTGTACCTGTAAATCCTACTTACATCATTTAATTCTCATTGTCCCTTGGATCAATGATTCTGCTTATAATGTTAATTTGACATCCATAATAGAAAAACTCTGGGATTTGAAGTTCTTAAATTGTATAACAAAAAAAGATAACCAAGTATAGGTTAATTATACATTTTTCTCTGTTCTAGATAACAGCTTGGGTTCTGAATGTTACCTGTCCTATTCTGAATGTTATGTAAAAATGATTTATGTAAGTATCCTCAAGCACACTCTAGCCAAAGTTTTTCCTCTTTACAAATGGGCTGCAATTTGGGCCACCATTCCCAACATGGATTTTCAGCCCCTGGTAAAATGCACCCTTCCTCATCACCCATGCTTGGGTCCTATTAGAATACTATATAATATTTATTTAGGATATATCCTGGGCCAAGAATTGCTAGAGTTCAGAAACATTTGCAAGTGATACAATCAAGAAAGCAATGTTCTGTTCTTCTCTCTTCTGCAGATTGGCATTGCACTGGAACAATGGAACAATTCAGAATTCCTACAACATTTTCTGTTGAACTCAGAAATCCAGAAAGGCTAATATAATTCAGCGTGACTATGCAGCCACTCTTTTGTCCTGATTGTTTTTGTACTGTGAACAAGAATAAGGCCTGCTGGAATGGAAAAGGGGGGAAAATGCTTCTCCTGCTTTGGTCTACTGAAAGTATTGAATGATTTTCTGTGTGGTCTAAAATAGTGATTTTATCAGTACAGAAGGCTTGCAAAAATACAAGGCATTCCTTGTTAAATATTTTAACCTCAATTTTTAATCAACTATTTTCAAAGGCAACTTAAAACTCAATTGTTGTATGCCGCCCAGAGTCGCTTTGTGTGAGATGGGCGGCCCTATAAATGCAATAAATAAGTCCAAAAGTTTCATCTAGGGCTTACAAACTCAGAAGACAAGGGACAAGAGAAAAGAGCACATTAAAAGTGCCATAAAGAAGTGGTGAGTTTTAAGGGGCCTTTCCTTTGCTGTCGTTTTTATTTGGATGGAAACCTCTGCTAGATTCTTGCTTCTCTGGCCATGGTGGGAAGAGAGTGCTTTTGCCTCATTCCTGTGGTCTGTGGACAACTGAACAGTGAGCTGTTCCTTTTCCAGCTTCAGCTGGACCAGCTTATTTTTCTGTGCAAGACGAGTGCGGCTTGCTAACGTTCTCAGACTTGCTAGAGCTTCCGGGGAACTCAAATGAGGCTGAAGAATAGCAGCTCTTACCTGTTCCCCATACTCAAAAATAAATATGCATCACCGATTGAGGTTACCATGTTTTAATCAGCGTGAACAGATTACCATCTCTTCCATGTGAATCTCTCTAACCCAGTGTTTCTCAACCTTGGCAGTTTGAAGCTGTGCAGATTTCAATTCCCACGCTGCATGCTGGATGGGGAATTCTGGAAGTTGAAGTCCACACATCTTCAAGTGGCCAAGGTTGAGAAACACTGCTCTAACCCCTTACTTTGAAAAACATCCAAGTCTTTCCCCTCTGCTGAGCTGAATCGCTATTGACCTCTCCTTAAGTTGACAGAAAACTCTCTAGCATGGAATTGGGTCTCCCCATGTCTGATCCCCATCTTGCTTCTATTACCCGTTTGAAGTCACTAGACCCCTGACTTACCTCCATAGCATTGGGTGTCAAAGCTTAACTGGTTTTACACCTTTGGGTGGGATAAGGATGACTTAAATTTGTCTCCTCCATGGGCTGGGAATGAGATGAAGGCAACATTGTGGAGACATGGCCAAACAAAGAAATGTTGCTATGGTATGTTTATGCCATGCTGGGGAGGGGCAACTAGCGAATTAGCAGTGCATGGAATTGTATCTTCTGGTGGCAATGTCATCCGGCAATTCTCCTACAACAGCCAGTTTGGAGTACTGTAGCAGTTTAGAAACCGGGAGGCCCTGAGTTCCAGTCCCGCCTTAGGCACGAAGCCAGCTGGGGGACCTTGGGCCAATCACTCTCAGCCCGAGTAAGGAGGCCAAGGCAAACCACTTCCGGAATCTTGCCAAAAAAATCGCAGAGACTTGTCTAGGCAGTTGCCAGGAGTCAACACTGACTCGAAGGCAATCCCCCCAACCCAAATCCTACCACAGCTTTCCCCAAGCCGGTGCTCCCAGATTGGTTGGCTGCTGGGGATCAGGCAAAGGGGGCGGTGCGGCCGGAGGAGGGTGAATATTTAGATTTTAGGCCCTGGTCTTCACAAGGGACTTTTCACGGCAAAGCTTGTGTAAGAGGGGAGCGTTCGGTCCACTCCCAAAGCGGAAAGGCCAACGGCCCTGTCTTTGTGCAGCAGGGCACAGCGCAGGCCGCTCGTGGAGCATCTCAGCGAGGGCTTTCGCGTTTCCCGCCCGATCAGCCCCGCGAGCGAGGCCGGCCTCCCGCGCCACGCAGGCGCGCTGGCAGCCCCTTCCCTTCCACGGCCGGC